GTTGTGTTCAACCTAGCAGCAAAGGTTTGATTTTTAACAAATCAGGCTAATAGGAGCATAAATAGAAATTTGTGGAGATTTCCAGACATCTCAGATCAGTTGAGGAATTGCTTGGACTTAATGCTTTCTACTGAAGAACCGAGCCAGGTACAGTTCAAAGGCATCTGCCTCCCAGCTGAAAGCATCCACTAGGGACTCAATGTCATTCTTTCATTCAGTTACTCACTGTGATACTAGCCACTATGGATGAAATGATAGTATGCCACAAGAACCTACACAAGAGCAAATGAGATGACGTTAACATACAAAGCAGCAAACATAAGATACAGCAAGCACACAGACAAGGAAGGATTCATTTAGCTTGGGAGTCAAGGAAGGCTTCCCAAAAAAGACAGCAGCATCTTCAAGCTTTGATGGGCAGTCAGAAGTTTGTCTGATATAAAAGAGCCACTAGAAGAAGGTGGCCTGGGAGAGAAATGAGGTTGTTATTTCCTTTCAGGACAGTTGGGGCGCTGGAGCCAAGAACAGACCTGGAACAAAGTTAATGCTATTTTTACAAGCTAGAAAAATACCAGCAGCAGGAGCCCTGGCCAGAACCACCCCCACAAAGTGCAAACAAAACTACTCCTATCTGCTGGCTGTCTGCTGGAGAACTCACTAACCAGTCCCTTAAGAACAAAATGTTCTTTTATCTTTGAGTTTTCATTCCCACAAAGTCCTTCCTCCTGTTTCCAGAGCTGGAAAACCCATGAGTTGAGCTGTGTTGCTCTTTGATCCCCATCTTTCCATCCCAGGCTGTCCTTGGGAACAAGAGTCCATGGGGTACTTCTGCTGAGAGGTGACCCCCACCACTTCTCCGAATGTGGGGTGCAAGGCTGATGGTGTCAAGTCAGCATATGACATGCCCATGGTTGTCAGGGCAGTGTTGTGAGAGAACAGGATGGCTGGCATACCTCTCCCACTCCAAAGTTAGGCTCTTATCGTGACATTTGGGGTCGCTCAGCACCAGGGGAACATTCTGAAAGCTGTTTCTGACTTAAATCCTTGTAACTTCTTAGAGTACTGAATCCCATATTCTTTTAAAGGGCATGAGGAGGACAATCAGGGCAACTTCTGGAGAGACAGAGGGGTCAGGGACTTGGGTTCTTTCTTCTCTGTGCATAGGGAAAAGAAGAGAAATACTACATATTCTCTTGTATGTAGTATTCTCTTGTATGAGAGAGAGAGAGAGAGAGAGAGAGAGAGAGAGAGAGAGAGAGAGGGAAAGAGAGAGAGAGAATATGTGTATGTGTCTGCATCTGTATATCTGTCTGTGTGAGCATGTGAACGCGTATGTCTGTGTCTGTGCACATGTGTGATGTAGATATCACCAGTTTTCACAGGAAAACCACAAAGGGCCATTGGTAGCTCTTCCCATAAAAGAGAAAACAAAAGTTGAAGAGGTAACCTGCCTGTAGGCAGAACAAGGATTTAGTCGGGTTAGATCTGCGGGCTCAAACCAATACTAGGAGGTTACATAAACACAGAGCAGGGAGAACAATACAAAGCTCCCCAGAAGGAACAGTCCTTGTCAGTTTTGTTCACTGCTGACAGTCTCCAGTGTCCAGACCTAGCACAGACAGGGCGCGCACACTTGATATTCATCTTTAGTCCATCTGTGGTCAGATGGTCTTTCAGGTCTCTCTGACCTCTGTTTTCCACTGAACCCCAACATGACACAGACAAGGTGGAAAATGAGCAGAATGTTTGCTTCCAGGCCTCTTTACTTTCCCAGATACCCTAATCCTGAGCTGGCTGTAAACTGCTGAGGAAAAGAGGCAGGGTCGGAAGTTAGAAGAACAAAATTTGATCTGAATTATCAGCAAGTCTTCCTACTCCACAGCAGTGAGAATCCCTTCCCCTGCCTTCTCCCGTCAGCAGAGGCACCTGGGTTCTGCTCTTTAAGAATCTAGGAATTTATTCCATTTTTCCACTTTACAAATTTACGTTTAATAGGTGGGAACTCATTAATGTGAAAGAGCCTGGACACAAAAGACACAAGCCAAAGCTCCTAGGAGTGAAATTTCTGTCAGTGAGCTCTGTATTTAGACACCAAACGGAGGTCATCTTGGAGTTTACCCCTCGTGGACAGTACAAAATGTCCTGGGCAGAAATGAGAAGGTGTGTTTTGACACGTCCTTAGGGAGGCCAGGGAAGCTGACAAGGAAACCGCAGTGCCTGCGGTTCCCCAAGACGAGGCCCTCTTCCCTGGAGCACACAGTGGCCCCAGCCAAGTGTTTGCCACCTGGGTGAGGCAAAGGGTTGAGACTGTCACCCCAGGGAGAACTGCAAAAGAAAAATGAGGAAAGTCTCCCTGAGCGGCTCCACGATCTGCACTGTCAGGACAGCTATGAGACAAGAACACACCATGTCTGTCTACACCTCCAGCTCTGTGGCTTCTACTTCAAAGCCTGACACTCTACCCAGAAGCACTGCTCGCACTGGGAAATGCTGGCGAGAAACAGCCTTGCCTGCGGTCGCAGCCACACCACATATCACCCTGCTCTCCCACGAGCAGTCCTGTTTATTCTTTCTCTGGGCCAGAGCCTGAGAAGAGAAAGATGAGCCGGGAAGGGGCTCTCAGGCTGGTGATGAGTGTCACCCAACCCCACACATCAGGAAACAGATCAACCTTCACTCTAAAGTTCAATGTGACCTTACGCAACACATTTATCAGCTACCTATAAAACACAAAGCAATGTTCACCACTAGGAGCATGAGATGAATGATACGGTGGCCTTGTTCGCAAGAAATTCCTAGTCTGGTAGAAAAGACAATCAGATCAATCATAAGGTTACAACATAATGGGATCATCTCCTCAAACAAATAAATACAACAAAAGGAGCGCAATTTACAGAATTTCTCAATCTAACCTTTCCACTGAACAGGCTGTAAAGGAGAAACCTTTTTTTTTTTTGACCTTCAAATTGGAAAGAGTTACCTAACCATTGTCACCAAGGGTTAGCCTCCCCCTTGGTGACAATGTTGAGCAGTGGGAGCTGTAAGAGGTATTCCACATGGTAGGGATGGGTTACGTATTAACGGAGAGGGTTCCCAATGAAAGCAACTTTCTTTCTCTTTCACGTGTAAACATGCTCCCTTGTCATTCTGCCTTCTAACACAGACAGAAGGCTACTAGATGTGAGTCTTCTGAGAGTCCAGGCTACAGAGCTGTAATAAATCTATACTCTTGGTATCTGTGGCCTCAGGGATGCTGTTACAGCAGCACAAAGTAGATTGAGATTCTCATAGCCATTTCTGGGCAGATAACACATGTGCCAAGACAGAGATGGAATGAGATCTGGAAGCACAATCTATGGTGAGTCCTTGAAGAGACAGCTCTTGACTTGAAGACAGTGAGTGGTTCTCAACCTTCCTAATGCTGTGACCCTTTAATACAGTTCTTCACATTGTGGTGACCCCAGTCATAAAAATATTTTCATTGCTACTTTAATGTAACTTTGCTACTGTTAGGAATTATAAATATCTGTGCATTCCAATGGTTAGGAACCCCATGAAAGGGTTATTCATGTGAACAGCAAAATGTGAATCGGCAATTACGAATTGTAGTCTTACTATGCCACCAGAATGGCTAAACTCTTGCCTTACTTCTCAAGCAGCAAAAATCACACATGTGTGTCACCACACTTGACTAAAGTTTTGTGACCTTAATCCATTATAAGAGATTCATTTTAGCCACGGCCTGGTATACACATACATATACTCACACATGGAGACAGGCTAACAACACAGTACTTACCTACCCGTGCTGTGTAAGACACACCGTCTGCTGCGTTCTGCCCTGTTCAGTCCTACTTCATACTACTCTGTTCTGAAAATCCAATGGCATGGCTTGGAACGTTTGCCTTACAAATTACAAGCCATCATTTGAAACAAATGCTGTTTACTGAAAGGATAGGGGGAATATACAGGAAAGTAGTAAAATTGAGAGACTGAAAATCATAGTAGTCAAAAAGAGGAAATAGAAGGAAACTACAGTTGAGCTGAAGACGAGGTCAGAACCACCACATTTAACTAGAGTTCTCTGCTTTGTTGTATATTTTTCTATTAAAATTTGGAAGGAGAACTTGGTTTTGTTTTATTTTACTTCATCACACTCACATAGCTTTGAGGTGCTGAGGACTGAATCACACGCCTTGTGCAAGCTGGCCAAGTGCTTCACACCAGTCCCAGGCTTTGTTTCACATCCACCATCCCTTAGCCCCATGCCAGAGTGTGTGGTGAGGAGCCAATGGATTTTTGAAAAACGAATAAATAAATGCATGAACTGAAGACTTGAAAGTTATATAGGAAATTAAATCGAGTCTTCAATCAAGTAATTGGGTTTAGGAAAAAAGCCAAATATTTTATTAAACAAATATATCATCCTTATAACGATTCTGCGCTACCATTAGCAAAGAAAGAATACATGAAAGCACTCCACCATCACACACTGTAGACGGAAGTAAACATATGTTGTCCAAATTTTCATGACGCTAGAGAACTATCTAGATAAATGTTATATTACTATGTATTAAGGAATTAATAGTTTATAACTTTTATTTTTTTTTAAAGATTTTTTTAAATATTTATTTATTTATTATGTATACAATATTCTGTCTGTGTGTATGTCTGCAGGCCAGAAGAGGGCACCAGACCCCATTACAGATGGTTGTGAGCCACCATGTGGTTGCTGGGAATTGAACTCAGGACCTTTGGAAGAACAGGCAATGCTCTTAACCTCTGAGCCATCTCTCCAGCCCCATATAACTTTTATTTTTTATTATAAGTTTTCTAATTCTATTCAAATGCTTAGGTGTATAAAGGCCTTTTATTATTTCACCTTAAATCATCAGCCCTTGACCTTTGCTGAGCAAAGAGAAAAGATGTATTCTGGGCTCTTGGTGATATTTCTTTTACCCAGAGAACCCACAGAACCGGGTGCCGGGAAAGAAGATTACCTAGTCCTCCTGCGTGGGCGTCAATGAGTGAGGCCGCCACAGCAATCCCCGAGGGAAGACCCAGCTCTTCGGCTGCCTCTGGCGTGAGCCCACTTCCAAGACAAGTTCCAGGGGGCAGCACAAGATTTCCTGGGTAGACATGAGAGAAAACAAACACCCATCAGTTTGGAAAACTCGGACGTGAACAGAGGGTTTTCTTAAGAGAGCCTTTTTGCTCCCTCCTCCTTGCCTGTATTTCCTCAAATGCACAGAGACAGAAACCATGCACCCAGAAAACAGCCCTTTTCTCACTTTGTGACCTTGGTATATGTCTTTGATAGGCACGCGGACACACGCTCCAAAAGAAACAGAAAAGTGGCTTCGGCCCTTGCTCCCTATTGTAGGGTAATGAAGAGAAATATTTTGTTCTAAGAAAGAATCTCTTCAATTTTGTACTCTAGCTGGAGGAGACAGGCCCGTTGAAACCTTAGGGGATTCTGTAAGGCGATTGCTTGCACAGAAAAAATTCTTCAGAATTTTGCAATGCACTGACCCTGATATTTCAAGTGACCTTGAAGTCCTGCCATCAGGGAGGCCTTTAGTTAATAATTTATTGATTCTCTAGCTTTGTGTGGGCACTGCTGGGCTGTAAAAGGCAGTTCTTGTTTTCGACCTAGTTAGGAAGATGAGATAAGGACTCAGAAAACCATGTGAGGCAGAGGAAAATGAAATGATCTATCTGTTGTGAGGTATTTAACAGAGGCTGGACCCCTTCCACTCTGAAAAGCATTCTGTAAGTATTTCTGCCTTGCAAGATCTGTGTAAGACTGAGACCATATGTAGTCTGTAATCTCGATTGAGTCCCAGGATTCTGGGATTCTAAATGTGTGTTGTGAGCTTCTTGAGCATGAAAGCGTCATTTGTAATTGTTTAGGGAGCTTCACGGTTAGGCAGAGGTGCCTTACGTTTTCAGCACGTGTGCGTACACACACACACACAATCACAAATATACATACACACACGAAGGCATACAGACATACACAGAGACAGACAGACAGACACACACACACAGACACACACAGACACACACACACACACGTGAAGATGGTAAATGGCTCTAAAGATCCTCTAAATGGAAATAAAACACCTTCCCAGTCCATGCTTACATCTATCTTAAATAATAAACTTCTCTCTATAACTAACTCTGAAAACAGGTTAGCCCAAAAGACTGATATCATTGTGGTGGGTTTTAGATCTCCTTCATTTAATACTGATTTTAACTCATTTACATTTAAAGTTTAAAACACCTTGAATTTGTGTTCTGAAAAGCAAAGTATGTTTGGAATAATATGAGTATACAAATTTACTTTTCCAGTATTCATTTGAGAAAGGAAAGCATTTCCAGTGAAAATCTAACATCTGAATAGGACATGGAGCATACACCAAAGATTTATTCATTGCTGAAAGGGGTGGACTCCCAAGGGCAATGCAGGAGAGCGCACCCTGGTGGTGAGGACAAGGGAGAGCTGGCGGGCTGACCAACCCTGCAACTGCTCAGGCCTAGAACAAGAATTAGGTGTTGGTTCAGCCCAACATCCGCCCCATCTGTGAACTGCTGGAGCCCACAAAGAGACCAATTCTGCAGACCCAGAACTACAGGATCCCCACATCACAGGGCATCACAGGATAACCAGTGAGGGCTTAACCAGCATCGACAGTGTAGCGGAAACCAGAAGCCTCAAACCAGACCAGTGACTCTCTCCAATGAACACTTGCAAGAAAAGATATATGGGTAAAAGCATCTATTATGCGACTCACTGTGCCACACTACAACTCCCACAACGAGACTGATTATTTCTCTCTCTCTCTCTCTCTTTTTTTCTCTTAAAGTTTATTTTCTTTTATTGGGGTGGGGGAGGTTACAAGGGCAGAGGGTGGATATGATGGAACAGGGAAATGAATGGGATGGAGATGCATGATGTGAAAGACACAAAGAATAAATGAAAAGGAGAAAAAAAGAGAAACTACTAAATATATATATATATATATATATCAGAATTATATCAGAATCCTATCTACAATAGGTAAGCTTATTATCACTGAACCAGATCCCAAGACTGATATAAAATTAATAGTGAGATTTTTTTACATTCACTTTTCCAGACTGGATGAATCCTTCTTCTATGACCTCAGAGCCAGCTCTCTAACCTGCCTCAGCCATTGATGGGCAGGGGTAGGGGAGGCTCTCCTCTGTCTCTTCCATGCCACCACATGACAGCTCCCATGCTCACAACTTCGGGGCCGGCTCACCAACACCTCTGCCAATGAGATTGGCTCTATTACAATGTCTACGTGAGGTACAGGGTCTGTTCTCCCGAGGGCTGTGGTTGGTGGTGGGCAGGGACAGCTCTTGTGGCCTTCTGACCTCAGGGTCAGCTCTCCCACCTGCCTCAGGTGTTGCTCAGGTGTTGCCTCAGGAGGGAAAGGGGAGCTGGATTTATTCTTAAGAACAGTAAAAAGAACCATTACACCAATTTTATGTTGAAATGATATTTTTATCTATTAAGTTAAATAAGACATCAGAATTAATTTATCTACTTTTTTTCTTGCTTTATCATGAGGAGTAGAAGTTTAAAGTTCGCTGTGTTCCTCATACGCTATGTCTAGTGAATTGTGCTGGTCTAGCGAACACGGTTCAGATGCATAAACATAGGCATAGAAGAAGGTTAAGCACTGGTCTGTGCTGAATTCCAGGACATAAGAACTCTGGAAAAGCTGGATTCCGGATTCTGGACAATCTCTTAGTTATGTCACCACATATGTTCTGCAACATATGACAGACATTCCTCCCTGAGTCAACTCTTCTATCTCTATCTGTGCTAAAAACATAGCATGCAATTTCTCCCTTCACTTTGCTAACAACATCTAAGAGGGCAGCAATAGGATCCATTTTTGTCCCCATCTCACAGGTAGATGTCAGGCAATTGAAACTTTTAGAACAGCAAGTCTCCTGCAGCCAAGGAGGAAAAGCTGGAGCTAGGCTTTAGGTTCTCCTCTGACATCAAGTCTATGACATCAAAGCACAAACTTTTCTCAACTATGCTTTGAATAAATGAAGGGATGAAGAGTATTATTTCTAAAATGAGCATTGTTGTACATTTTAAAATGACCACCATTTAGAAGTCTTGCCTACAGAGTTATTCTAAGGCTTAATTTCAAGAAGAAAGTAAAAATAGAAACTATAGAGATTCATCTGTAAGATCTACAACTGCAAAGGAGAAATTTCCATGGACAGTTTTATAAAGGAGTTGGAATTAGCAGGGAAGATCTCTTTTCTCTGGGAAGATTTAGAAACAGCTTAGTTAGTCAATGAATGAATCTGGCCTATGAAAGGAGGCTTCAGGGCACTGGGAGCAGAGTCCTAGGCTCTCTGCAGACCTGGTGTCAGGGTACACAGGGCAGGGAGACCTCTCAACAGATCATCTTGAACAAAAGCCAGGAGAGAAGAGGGGAAGTATCGTGGGTGATTGGCTCAGAGCTGGGTAAAGGGAGTAGAGCACAGGTTTGGTTAGGAGTAGCAGGTGACAGACAGGGATGGTTAGAGAAGCAAGTCTTGCAATAATGCTGCAGGGCTTGGGCCTCAGCGCTGACACCACCAGATCCCACTGAAGAGGTGACGCAAGAGGTTTCACCTGGATCCGTGTTTTTAGATGCTCAATCTAGCAACATTTTAGGAGAGGATATGCTTGATACTAGAAAACAGCAGTGAACCTAAGAGAGAAGTCATTAAGGCAAAGAGTAATTGGAATACAGAAACAGAAAATGCATGACGATTTTATGGAGCAAGAAGTAACTGTTCATGGTGGTGATTTTAATGTAGGGACTACGGAGGGAGAGACGATGCCACAGCCAGAATTTCCTTTTCTAGAATGGAAAAGTTGACTACCTAAAAGAGACTGAGGGTACAGACAGTGGCCAGCTGCCAGCCCCAAATCCCCCAGGGATCCTCAGCTGCAGATCTTTCTTTTGGACCTTTGTCCTGTGACTCAGTGAAGAAGTAGGGAAGGCTGCTCTTCACCCTACAACGCTCTACTTGGCTGGCCAATGAGATTTCGAACTGTATCACCACTCAGAGGTGATACACTCCCCCTTCCACAGATAACCATGCTCAGTCTACAACTCATTCCACGTCAGTCTCAGCTCAGTTCCTAAAGAACTCAGCCCAGGACGGTGATCTAGGAATAAAAGTTAGTGTTCACCATGATGAATATCCCTTCTTAAATTGGAATCAGATCCTTCAGGCATCGTCTGTCTGACCCCAAACATGAAGGAACTTTGTTTATCCAAACCAGAAGGACGCAGCATAAGATAGGAAGGTGGAAATAAATATTGTGTGAAAAGAAATCTCCCACATCATCATTTTCTCAGCCAGAGCATCTCAGAGGGTCTAGGACTGTTAGATGCCATCTGATAACTTCCACCAATGTTTTTGTTCACCATGAAATTTAATAGCCCACAGCATTGCTCTCCCCAGAGCTAATCAAGACGTCACTGACTCAGGCTCTGCGGTTTCTCCTATGCTTCATCAAACCGCTCGCTCACGTGTTTCACAAGCCTTTTAGAAACAACGCATAGAAGATGATCTGCACCAGTTCTCACCTGCCTTGGGCCAAGGTCTAGGTGTTGGTAAGGAAGCTAAAGAGGCCTCTAGGACTTCAAAAGATTCACATAAAGTCTGGAACTAAGATGATCGAAAACTAAGATATTAACTGTGCAGAAGATAGGAGAAAGGTAGAACATACGTGTTACACCTAAAGAACCGAGGAGGGCTCCTTACATTGACCTCAGAGAACGAATGAAATATTCAAGGTAGAGATAGCATCTGGATGAGGGTTAGAATGACCTCCAAAGGTGAAAAATAGATGTTATCATACTAGAATTAGAATATTCCAGGAAGTGGTTCCATCAAAACAAATGGAGGTTCACTGTAGGGAGCCCAGAGGGGCCAGGAGTTGGGGTTTCCAGTTTATTAGCGATAGGGGCACTGAGGAGGGGTGGGGAATAAGAGAAGCCTATGAGAGGGCAGCACAAGGCTACAGACAGCGAACTAGTGAGTACCTACCCACTCGACACTCAGATTCCGTTGTTAA